ATTATGCTGCCTCGTTTTGTCCTTCAGGTATTTTATTTTAGTTGCATTGAGAAGCACTTCTCACTGCCAAATCTATAGTTTCAAAAAGAAAAAAAATACATACACATAATTGATTTCACACTGCTTAACATTTCCTTTGTCTTCTTCTGGAATATCATCTTTTTTCTTAGTCTCTCTTTCAGCACAGGATCTAATCTGGATTTTGGAGATGAGACCCCAACAGGTTATACATTTATCGTCCCCCTTCTCCACTTTACTTACTACACAATAGCATTCTAGGTGATTCCTTACATGAAAGAAGGAAACAATTAACTGAACAATTAGATTCAGAAAAAGACAGGTTCTAGATAAGTGTTTTTATTTATAACTGTAATTTATCTAAATAATTGTTATTACATATTTCTCTAAAGAGCCCTTACATCAGAAACACTAAAGAAAAAATTTGAAAAGCATTTTACAGGTCAGATCCCACTAAGTAAATTAGGCAAAGTTTAACGTTATTTGGCCTCAAAAGAAATACAATAGGATCAAATTATCCTGCTATTTAGTGTTCATTTTATAACACTGAATGTTTAAGATAATAGCTGTTTTACTTTGCATAGGATATACCAAATACATTAAAACTTTTACATAATACAATGTTTTTACCTAATTGGAACCCACCCCTTTTAAATCCTCCTTATATCCTCAAAAGTTTTGACAGATATTTACTATCATATGGCATAAATTAACTGACACAGACACAGCAACTCGGACCAACTGAGTGTGGCAAGAAGGGGATAGGAATAGAATTCAGGGCTGTGGAACTGGCAGTTTGCAACCCAAAGGACCCACATCTCCAAAGTGATCTCTGTGGCTCAGAGCATAAGAAAGATTGCTTAGATTGCTTAGAAAGTGGTGACCAATAAAGCATGTGCCAGTAATATGTGTGGTTAGAGGGGTCCTAAAAGACCTGGGGAAATTCCTGACTAGGTCTGTGACACAATACTGCTTTTAGCAGGAGGGAATGTATTCTGGTAGATAAAGCCATGCCATAAAGGTGGATGTTGACACAGACTAGCAGAGCCTGCAGTGCAAAAGGCAAGGTAGAAAGACTTCAGGATTATCAGAGCTCCCAGGTACCTGACTAACAAAACAGACCCAGGGAAATCTGACAGGTACTTCATATAAAAATGGTTATAATTAATGATAAATTAGCATAGTGTTTTTTTCCTATAGATGTGCAAAGTACAGCACATATCTGCACTGTTTGTCTTCAATAATCATGCTTTTATAATGTAATCCAGATAAAAAATAATTTAAACATGATAAAATAAAATTAAATAAATAAAATTAAAAATAGATGAGTCAGAAATCCATCAGCATTTTTCTTATGACCTGCTTCCTGAGAAGCGGTGTGATGTGGAATGTAATTTCTATAGTCAGTTGGGCCTGGGTACACACTCTGTCTCTGCCTTATCGAGCTATGTGACTTTCATGAAGTGACTGATCCAAACAGTGAGGATGTAAGGAGGGTAAAAGGCTGTTTCCTGTTCTGTAAAGTTAATAATAACCACCTCACCAGAATATTATGAAGATTAAAGACAACAATGCATATGCTACATTCAGCAGAGTACCTGCAGCTACTTGCTTTAGTTTTGTTCATGTAATTGAAAAATATTATGACTGACACTTCAAATTACAACAAAAGAATATCTAGGTTTTATACTTAAATTATTTGAGACTTTGGCAGTGAAAATGATTTCTGAGAAAACTATGAAAATATACAGAAATTTCTAATTCCTAAGCTGTCTAGAATGGCATTTCTTTCTCCATTAATCAACTACAAATGATGAATAAAGTTACTGGTATTAGCATTCTTGTTTAGAAAGATTAGCAATATTTTTCAAGGTAAAAAGAATACTGTAAGAGTAAAAAGTATTTTGAAAACTGAGAACATTTTAAAAATAAAATCAAATACATGACACGGAATTTAACATAAAGCATATTCAGATACTTGATGCTTTTAAATTATGCTGATAGTAGAGAAAATGTAATGTGAATTTTTATGCTTTATTTGTAAAATTAAGCCCCCCCCCC